GCTGCTGCTGCTGCTGCTGCTGCTGCTGGTGATGCTGCTACATTTGCACTTGCATTCGATCTACCGTGCACTCCGGCTCTACCGTCGAGTTGGTCGCACAGACAGCAGGACAAAGGCAAACAGACACGACTGACGCACGGTTGTACGCATGCTGTTGCGCCCGGGGGACCGGAGAGCCGCCTCGACCGCGCTGCCTGACCGAGTACCGAGCTGCGAGCTCCGAGGCCCGAACACCGAGCCCCGAGAAGCAAGCCCGAGAGTCGCGGCTGGCACAGACACCAGACGACGCGGTCGCTTACCGGAGACCGGACAACGGAAAAAGTACAACGAACAACAAACAACGAACAACGATCAATAAACAACGAACAACGAACAACAAACAACAAACAACGAACAACGATCAATAAACAACGAACAACGATCAATAAACATCGAACAACAAACAACGAACAAGAAACAACAAACAACAAACAGCGAACAACAAACAACGAACAACAAACAACGAACAGCGAACAACGAACAACAAACAACAAATAAGAAACAACGAAAAATGGACAACGGACAACGAAGATACGAGACCGGAAAGTGCAAGAGCCAGAGATTTCGGGTGAGTTGGTTGTTTTCCATTTAATCTGGGCTGCGTTCCGTCCGACATGCTCAGTCTGACTGGGTGGCTGGACGGCCGATGCACCACTCCCCTCCGCTCCCCTTCCCCCCCATTGGCCAATCGCAGAGAACACGAAGTCGAGTATCAAGTCTAAGCCTCCGCTCGTCCGACGCTGAAGGAAGTCAATCTCGTTCAGGATCCGTTCGAAAGACAACATCCAACATGGACTCTTTGAATAGTTGTTGTGCTTACTTCCATTTCGAGTGAAAGTGTTGCGTGAAGAGATTCGAAGCTCAATTCCACCAAAAGACGACGGTGGAGTTATCTTCACCAGCTGCCAACTGGCTTTGCTGGAACATTCATGCTGACGCTGTTTCCGAGGTAACCTCCTTCAATTCCGGTTAAAGGTGCTAAGCTTTCGTGCGTCGGATGACCAGTATTGTCAGGTCAGTGAGGGTATCATCGTGGCAACCAAATTCAAGCTAACGGATCAAGAAAACTCCCCGGCAAACCATCAAAACGTTGTTCATATACTCAATCTCTGACCTCTTTGATGAGGTATAAAGTGACTTGGTTAGTTATCGTCATATGCCAACCTCGAAGCCTGTGAGTGTGTCTGTATGTTCCTGTTTGTGTTTGCATATGCGCGAAACCCGAAGTGATGGCTCAAAGTAATTAGGACAGCAAAAAGGAACGTCTGTTTTTCGTCGCTATCTTCCCCTTTCTATGTAAATGTTATAACCATCACTCCGATTGCGCAAAGTCGGACATTCGTTTGGTTTTGTTGATGAGCCCTTTTTTTTGTTTTTGGTCTCAATGCGAGAGAGAATGAGTGAGCCTGATTAAAGAGGCCAAATATAGAGTATATATACCAATTTTTAGTGATTTGCCGGTGAGTTTTCTTGACTCAGTTTGAATTTGGTCGTGACGATGATACCTTGCTCTGAAGATGTTCCTCATATGACGCACGAAAGTTTAGCACCCTTTCATCGGAATCGAAACAGATCAAAAACAGCGTCAGCATGAATGTTCCAGTAAAGCCAATCGACAGCTGGTCAAGAGGAATCGGCCGTCGTCTTATGGTGGAGCCGACACTGGAATCTCTTCACGCAACACTTTAACTCGAAATGGAAGTAAGCTCAGCAATTATGAAACAAGAGATTCCTCGAAACCCAATTTTTTCTTTTCCGATTCATCAGAGTTTTATGCAGAATGCTTCATTTCTCTTTCATTTCCAGATAACTTCACTCTTTCTCCGCGTATAATAGCCTCCGACCTTGAATACGTGAATTCTAAATTGTATTCTATTTTCACAGTTTGGGTACTTCCATGCTCTTTTTGGTGGTGTTAGCTCTAATCTTTCTAGTCTGATAATCTCTTCCAGCCTTATATCCTTGAATAATAGCTTTACTCTGATTTATCTCAATTTCAGAATGGGAATCTTTAATTTCCAGATATTTTCACTCTTTCTTCGCCGTTAACCTCCTCCGATTCATCAGAATGTGAATCGTTTAATTCTTTTTCATTTAAAGATAGTTTCATTCATTCGCCATGGACAACCTCCACGGGGATTT